AAAATTTGTATAGGGTTTTTCCATATCATTTACCTAAATACATATTGTATAATTTTTATGATCTAGGTAATAAAAAAGAAAAAAAAGGTTTTATAATAAACATTATCTATTTACCCATGTCATAAGTATATCACCTAATTCTTTATTAGGGTTTACACCAATTTTAACAAGTTTCTAAATCAAAAATTAGATTGTAAGAAAAGTTAATTGTTAACATACATTTCTTTTTTTTTTAGAGTAAAAGGTTTCTCTTCAAACTTTACCGTGCAAAATTTTCTATTTCGTTTATAAATGCCTTCAATTAAACGAAACATTTTATCTATTTCTGTTGGCGGTAAATTGTCAATGTCCCAGCAGGATGTTACGCGCTAATAATAAATAGATTTGAGTAATGTTTAAAAATTTTTTTGGATGTTTTGTTTTTAGTGACTAACCTGTAATATAGTTTTCAAATCTGATACATAAACCTTTTCACTTTCTATTAGATCTGATAATGCATTGACCCTTGGTCTACCAGTAGTTTGTGAAGCAGAAGGGAATGGTTTCGAGTTGGATGGACTTGTAGGTGGTGAGTATAGTGGTGAAAAAGGAATTGAAGGCTAAAATAAATAAAGATGAATGAATAATGAATTATTTGACAACAACAAATAATTAATGCTATTAGTCTTACAATGTCTCCTTTGACATCTTGTGATTGTTCTATGGTTTCCATGGTTTGTTTTTGGAAGGGAGAAAAAGTCGAAATCAAAAACGTTGAAAGGTTGAATAAAAAAATTCTTATTTCAACATAATAACAGTAATAATATTAATATCTTTTTTCTAATCTTTAGACACAATTATTGACAAAATATTTCATCAAACTTTTCCCAAAATCTTTTTTCCAAGTCTTTAGACACAATTAATAACAAAATGTTTCATCAAACTTTTCCCAAAATCTTTTTCTTGGATTTTGTAAAATATGCATTGTTGCCATATTTTCTTTGCGAATGTTTTTTGCACTGCACCTTCTAATTGTAATGGTGTTGTTGTTGATAAATCACATATATTTATTATTTTAAGCATGATTTTTTTCATCAGCTTCCACTCTCATAATTCGCGACTTTTCTTTTCTCACAAACAAATTTTGTTGTCGAGATTTTCAGTAACTCGTGTAATTTATATATGATTTTTCAAATAGAACCCTCTTTTAGTATTTCATATATACTATGTTATCACATTACTCATAATACGGAAAAATGAAGAAGAAAAAATTTTCTTAGAAAAACCATCCTATCACGCAACATTATTAACACCGTCAACACAATTACTAGACGACGAAAAAAATAATCATCCAACACATACAAAACATCGTAAAAAAACGCGAAATTAGAACATTTTCTAAACACCAATTAAAAAATACGACGATCATGTCCTCTTCACTAGCCACGTCACAAGCCACTCACTAATTCTACATACAATAGAAAAAAATCAATCAATCATTTTATCTTAAAATAACATGTGATTTATTGTTTTTGTTTATTTGTAATACAAAGATTAATTGAAAGATTTTCTATGTTAGAAATTTTTTCGTCAATCAGATATTTTTTATTTTTAAATCTTTGTATTAATGTTACACGATAATTAAATTTTAATAAACAATAAATATAAAATTAAAAATTAATATTAATAAATAATTTATCCCCTGCC